GGCGTCCCACATACAGCAACTAGAAGGATGTGCAGCTATGACATACAACTATCTACTGGGGCTTTGGGGGAAAAAATAAATAAATAAAAAATTAAAAAAAAAAATTGTTAGAACCAATAAACGAGTTCAGCAAAGTGGCAGGATACAAAATCAACACTCAAAAATCAGTTTTGTTTCTATATACTAACAATGACCACTTCAAAAAGGAAATTGAGAAAACAATCCCATTTACTATAGCATCAAAAAAGACAAAATATTTAGGAATAAATTTAACCAAAGAGGTGAAAGACTTGTACACTGAAAACTAAAAAACACTGCTAAAAGAAATCAAAGAAGATGTAAATGGAAAGACATTCTGTGCTTGTGGATTGGAAGACTTAATATTGTAAAAATGTCCATAACACTCAAAGCGATCTACAGATTCAATGCAATCCCTCTCAAAATCCCAATGACATTCTTTGCAGAAATAGAAAAAAAGTCCTAAAATTCACATGGACTCTGAAGGGACTCCAAATAGCCAAAACAATCTTGAAAAAGAAGGACAAACTTGGAGGCCTCACACTTCCTAATTTCAAAACATACTACAAAGCAACAGTAATTAAGATGGTGTGGTAGTAGTATAAAGATAGATATATACACCAATGGAATGGAATAGAAAGCCCAGAAATAAACCCTTGCACATCTGGTCAAATGATTTTCAACAAGGGCGCCAAGACTACACAATGGGGAAAGAACAGTCTCTTCCATAAATGGTGTTGGGAAAACTGGGTATCTACATACAAAAGAATGAACTTGGACCCTTACCTTACACCATAAACAAAAATTAACTCAAAATGGATTAAAGACCTAAATGCCAGACCTAAAACTATTAAACTTCTAGAAGAAAACACAGGGGGAAAGCTTCAAGACATTGGATCTGGCATTGATTTCTTAGATATAACACCAAAAGCACAGGCAACAAAATAAAAAATAGACAAATGGGACTACATCAAACCTAACTTCTGCATGTCAAAGGAAACAATTAACAGAGTGAAAAGGTAACTTACAAAATGGGAGAAAATAACTGCAAATCACATAACTGATAAGGAGTTAATATGCAGAACATACAAGGAACTTCTACAACTCAACAACAAAACACAAATAACTCTATTAAAAATGGACAAAGGACTTGAACAGACATTTCTCCAGAGAAGATAGACAAATGGCCAATAAACAACTGGAAAGATGCTTAACATCGCTAATCATTAGGGAAATGCAAATCAAACCCACAATATCACCTCACACCCATAAGGATGGCCACTATCAAAAGAACAGAAAATAACAGTGTTGGCAAGGATGGGCAGAAGTTGGAACCCTTGTGCACTGTTGGTGCAAATAAAAAATGGTGCAGCCACTGCAGAAAACAGTATGCAAGTTCCTCAGAAAATTAAAAATAGAAATACCATATGATCCAGCAATCCCAGTTCTGTACACATCCAAAGGAACTGAAATCAAGATCTCAAAGAGACATCTGCACGCCCATGGTCATTGCAGTATTCTTCACAGTAGCCAAGAGGTGGAAGCAACCCAAATGTCCATTGACAGATGAACAGAAAAAGAAAATGTAGTAGCTACATACAATGGAATATCATTTAGCGTTAAAAAAGAAGGAAATCCCAGGGCCGGCCTGGTGGCACAAGTGGTTAAGTGCGCGTGCTCTGCTGCAGCGGCCCGGGGTCTGCCGGTTCAGATCCCGGGAGGGCACCGACGCACTGAGTGGCAAGCCATGCTGTGGCGGCGTCCCATATAAAGTGGAGGAAGATGGGCACACATGTTAGCCCAGGGCCAGTCTTCCTCAGCAAAAAAAGAGGAGGATTGGCAGATGTTAGCACAGGGCTGATCTCTTCACACACACAAAAAAAGAAAGAAATCCTGTCACATGCTACAACATGGATGAACCTTGAGGACATTATGCTAAGTGAAAAAGTCAGTCACAACAGGTCAAATACTGTATGATTCCACTCAAATGAAGTATCCATAGTAGTCAAAATCATAGAAACAGAAAGTAGAAAGGTGGTTACCAAGGGCTGGGGAGAGAGGTGGGGAAGAATTAGTATTTAGTGAGTATAGAGTTTCAGCACTGAAAGATGAAAAACTTCTAGAGATATGTTGCTCAATAATGTGAATATACTTAATTCTACATTTACAAATGGTTAAGATGGTAAAGTTAATGTTAGGTGTTCTTTACCACAACTAAAAAAATAAAAACCCATGTAACTTGACCAACCAAAGAGGAATCTATTAGAAAAGGGAATGAATTCTTGAAAAGTAGTCAAAAGGAACAGTTATGGAGAAGATTTTAATTTTTTTTAAGGAATGAAGAAAATGATGCAAGTTTGAACATTATCACTAAAAGTGCTATCATTAGAGAAGTTGGGACACACTTTCTCTGAAGGGAAATATGAAAGCTGAGGCAACGAAAGTGATAGGTGGGGATGACGGTGTTAAGAGCTGAGCTTCTGGGGCCGCCCGGTGGCATAGTGGTTAGATGCGCGCGCTCAGCTGCTGGTGGCCTGGGTTCGGATCCCAGGCACGCACCAACACACTGCTTGTCAGGCCATGCTGTGGTGGCGTCCCACATAAAGTGGAGGAAGACGAGCACGGATGTTAGCTCAGGGCCAGTCTTCCTCAGCAAAAAGAGGGGGATTGGCATGGATGTTAGCTCAGGGCTGGTCTTCCTCACACACACACACACACAAAAAAAGAGCTGAGCTGCTGAGACCGGAAGCTGGGGTTCAAACCCAGCTCTGCTGCCACTTCCTAGCTGAGTGACCTTGGGCAAGTCATTGACCCTCTCTGGTCCTCAGTTTCCTCATCTATAAAACAGGAATAATAACAGTACCTACCTTATAGGGTTGCTGGGAGAAACCTATACTTAGAAGAGTGTCTGATATCTAGTAACAGCTTATTTAATGTTGGTTCTTCTCCCACTGGGGACTCATATGGAAGAGACTTGAATTTTCTGCACAGACTTGAGGCCCCAGAGGTGAGGAAACTCGCTCTCAACTATCATCTTAAAGAGGCTGCCCTCTCAGATGGAGCGCACTCTTACAAGGAATGCCGACTTCTAAGCCTTGATTCTCTGTCACTCACCCAAATCCCGGCGTCTTCTCACTGGCTCCACCACCCAGGGCGCCTTCCCTTTCTCCAACAAGGTGATCACATTTGGCCTCCGAAAGGAAAGTCCTGCACACAAGAAAAACATCAGAATTGAGCCTGATGGGGGAGCCACAGACATCAGAGCCCAGACTTGTGTCAAGAAAAGAAAAGCACAAGGGAGCATGGAGGATGTGAAGGGCAGGCAGAGAATGAGGAGGATGAAAGTTCGGTTACAGTCAGCAGAGTTGTTCATTTCCATCTCTACAGAGCCAACTATTTTCCTGAAAAGTTGGACCAGAAACTCCTGAGGCTGGTTATTAAGCTACTGTCTTGCAGCTTTCAACCCCAGTGTTCTCCGATCTGTTTTGTGGTGCAGGGGCTCTGCAATCCACACTTCTTTTTCACCAGCTGCTCCCTGTCAGTGTCCCCCTAATAGGGACTCTGGTGGTTTCCATTTCCGCTTTTCTCTTTTCCTCTGCACTCCCAGAACTAGCCTCATCTTGCCCCCTCAGGAGTATAAACCAACCAGGCAGCACACCCTTCTCCTCCTTCAGCAGTGAGTCCTTTCCTCTAAGTCCTAAAACCCCAAACTCTTCCCTTAGTTCCCCCAGCCCTAGGATGGTGACTGCATTCTGCAGTTACCTTCTCTGTGTTAACTCAGTGTCCTCTGTTCACCTTTTAACAGTACCTATTAAGTCAATTCCTTATATCAAATTTTCTCTTAAAACAACTGGAGTGTCCTCAAGAGGTTACATATACAGTTACTGTGTGACTATCAGTTCCACTCCTAGGTATCTACCCAAGAGAAACGAAAATACTTATTTTCATTTCCGGCACAGAAATGAAATTTTCATCAGATTGGCACAGATGTTAGCTCAGGGACAATCTTCCTCAAGCAAAAAGAGGAGGATGGGCAACAGATGTTAGCTCAGGGACAATCTTCCTCAAGCAAAAAGAGGAGGATGGGCAACAGATGTTAGCTCAGGGACAATCTTCCTCCCCAAAAAAAAAAAAAAAAGAAGAGTGAGTGCTAATGGATATGGGGTTTCATGGGGTTTCTTTTGCGGGTAATGAAAATGTTCTAAAATTGACTGTGGTGAAGGATGCAAAACTCTGTGAACACACTAAAAACCACTGAATCGTATACTTTATATGGGTGAATTGTATAATGTGTAAATTACATCTCAATAAAGCTTTTAAAAAAAACAAAACAAAACTGGAGTGGTTTCTGTCTTCCTGAGACTGACTGATTCATGTCCCTCACTGGGCCAGTTGTGGATTATGGGGGGAGGAGAGCCTTACCGAGAGAGACCAGGTTCTGGTAGTTCTCCAACATTACATCTTCGTACAATTCCTTCTGAATGGGGCTCAGCCATGCCCACTCCTCCTGCGAGAAGTAAATGGCCAAATCCCCAAACGTCACTGGCGCCTGAAATGGAAAATCACGCCCTTTCACCGTGAGCTCGTGCTTCCACACAGCTGGAGGAGATGATGGACTCGCCCCAAACATGGGAGACACGTGGTGCCAGGAATCTATTCAGGAAACATTTGGGGTTCTGAGGCCATAAGGGGCAGGTGTACTAAATAAAATAAAACACAGCTATATGATATAGCTGTTATTAAAGATTGTGTTGCACAAAAAACACGGCAACTTGGATTTACTGGGCACCGACAAAGTCAAGACATTTTTCTGAGCACCCTGCATGTAGTGGCTCATTTAGTGCTCATGTTAGCCCCAGTGGGGTATTGCGGAGAAAATCACAGCAATGTCACAGATGAGAATACTGAGGCCCAGAGAGATAAGGTGACTTACTGAAGTTCTCAGAGCCGGTAAATTGAGGAGCTGGGTTCAACCTGGGCAGTCTGGCTTTTGATTCATGCTCCTCACCACTTGCTCTCTAAAGAGCACATGACTGACTATGTTACACACAGCAAAAGGTTCTTTGCAGATGTAATCAAGGTTACTAATCAATTGACCTTAAAATAGGGAGAGTATCCTGGATTATCCAGGTGGGCCCAAGCTAATTAATCACAGGGGCCCATAAAAGCAGAAAATTTTCTCCAGCTAGTGACAGACGAGGAGAGTAGAAAGGGAAGTCAGTTGGGGGGGGATTTGAAGCACGAGTGGGATTTCACCTGCTGCTACTGGCTCGAAGGTGGAAGAAGGGGGCCACCTGGAAAGAGTGAGAAGGAACTGAATTCTGCCAATAACCAGTGAGTTTAGAAGAGGACCCTGAGCCTCAGACGAGACCACAGCCAGCCGACACCTTGAATTCAGCCTTATGAGACCCAAAGCGGAGGACCGAGCTAAGCCATGCTGTACCTCAACTTCGACCCATGAACGGTGCAATGAGAAACATATGCTGCTTTGACCTGCCTAGTTTGTGGTAATTTGTTACGGCAGCAATACACATAACTTAGATCGCAAAAGTGTTTGTTATGAGAAAGCGAATTCAAGATGCTTATTGCAAGAAATCACTTGATCATCTAAAGCAGTGAAGCTTGCTTATCACAGGAGGCTGAGGGCACCTCACTGGCCTGGCTCCAACGAACTCAACCTGAGCACACGGCTACGTGGAGTCCCTTAAAGACAGTTCCTCCTCTTAAAGAGAATATGGGTTCTACAAGGAAAAACAAAGTGACATTAAGAGATTAACTCGGAAGTGAAACATCCAATCCCTCTCTGCCTCAGCAGGTCCCACCGGGCACTCATGTCCACCTCAAGAAATCACGGTGGCTCTTGTTTTCCCTCTGGGGAGTGCATTTCTCCCAGCACTGGCAGAGACCCTGGAGATGCTGAACAAATCGTGAACGGTCACGTGCACCTGAGAAAAAGGAGAAGGGGCCGCTCAGCGGTTTCCTGGGGCCCTTCTCACGCCCCAGTCTCTGTGGTGATGGGAAGAAACCAGGTCTTGGTTGGGTCTCCGTTGGGCAGAAAGTTTTCGTGGAAGGAAAGCAAATGGTCTGTGTCTTAAAAGATGGAACTTTCCCGAAAGAAGAGGAATCGCTACTTACCTTGGACTTGGATTTTCCTCGTGCAGCAGGCATCCTTTCCTGCCCCTTGAGGGTCTGCGTTTGGAGAGGGGCCGTGTGCTGAGAACGTGGGGCTGCAGGAGAAGAGAAGTCATGAGGCCGACTGGGCCTTCTGGGTGGTCCCAGAGTCTCTAAGATAAGTATCCCCTGGCCCCTCACCCTGGTCACAGACGCATATGCACACACATGCACAGACATGCACATGGAGGGAGGCCAGAACCCCTTCTGCAGCACTCCTGCCCCTTCTCAAGGTCAGGGAGGGGCCAGGGCCAACGCTATCCACTCCAAAGATCACAGAAGGCTCCCAAGCAGGAGGCAAATGAGACCCGCAGACACCCGTTCACCCATTTGACAAGTATGTGTTGAGTGCCGACCAGGTGCCAGGCACTGTCCCAGGTGCTGGGGGAGAGCAGTGAGTTAGAGTGAAGTACCAGCTCCCACGCACACTACATTCCAGCAGGGAAGACAGGTCCACGTGGAACATAGCGTTAGCTGAGATCACTGCTATGAAGAAAACAAGGACCAGGGCAGGGGGTAGAGTGACGGGGTCGTAGGGGAAGGCCTCTTAGAGGCAACACTGAGCTGAGTCTGCATGTAGTGTGAGTGTGAGCTACCTGGGCACTGGGAGAAGAGCATTCTGGGGACAAGTACAACAGATGCACAGGCCCGCGGCAGGTGCTGGAGAGGAGCAAGCAGGTCGGTGTGCTGAAGCAGAGACAGTCAGGTGGGGAGCAGGGGACTACAAGGAGGCTGAGTCAGGATGGGCCAGACCATGAAGCGGGGGTGAGCAGTCTGGAATAGACCCTAAGTGTGACAAGACATCACTGAGGGAGCAGGGGGCTGGGTGGAGTGACATATCTGACAATGTTTAACAAAATTGTTTTGGGCAGCTCTGTGGTGAATAAACCGTGTGTGTTGGTTGGGGGGAAGCAAGAGCTGAAGAGGGGACTCATTAGATAGGTATGTGGAAATCAGAGGAGTGGATTAGGGTGGGCGGAAGGGAGGAAGAGATGTCAAACATCATTCCTAAGGAGGCTGTAGTATCGCCCAGCCACTCTCCACCCGTGCTGTCCAATGTGCATGCCACTAGCCACATGTGCTGAGTTCTGGAAACAAGGCTAGTGCAACTCAGGAAATGAGCATTTAATTTTATTTCATTTCAATTAACTTATTAAAACCATAATGAAATAATAAATTGAGTATTAAAATTACTGAATTAGAGCCAGCCCCAATGGCCTAGTGGTTCAAGTTTGGCGCTCACCACTTGGGAGGCCCGGGTTCACTTCCTGGTCGCAGAACCACACCACCTGTCTGTCAGTTGCCATGCTGTGGCAGCAGCTCCCACAGAAGAACTAGAAGGACTTACAACTAGAATATACAACCACGTACTGGGGCTTTGGGGAGGAAAAAATAAAAGAGGAAGATTGGCAATAAATATTAGCTCAGGGCAAATCTTTCCCCGCCAAAAAAAAAAAAAATTACTGAATTAAAATTTACTATTAATCTAAAATTAAAGACTGATCCTCAATTCAGTTACTATAAAACTTCTACATATGTTTGGAACAACTTGGGTGTGTGAATCTACTTTTCCAAAGGTAAATTTTATGAAATTTAAATAAACATCAAATATCTCCAATGAAAATTCAGTGTCTGGATTGAGTTACCCTCACATGTAAGACACACACCAGATTTCAAAGACTTAGTATGAAAAAAGAGAAGGTGAAACATCTCATTGGTAATTTTTGGATTTATTGTAATATTTTGGATATACTGAGTTAAATAAAATGTATTATTAAAATTAACTGTAATGATGAATTTCTGTGTCTTCTTACTTTTTCCAATGTGGCTGCCAGAAAATTTAAAATTCTACATCTTGCGTTCTGTTTCCACAGGCCAGTGCTGCTCCATACTACGGAGTCTATACCCTTCTACCACTCCATTTTCTTCACGGCACTCACTGCTTCCTGAAAACGGCTTGTGTAAGCGTGTGTTTACACGGGCACTACTCCCCACCACAACTTGGGCTCCGTGAGAGCAGGCACCATGACTGCTTTGTCCATTGCTCCCCTCCAGGAGCTGAGTGTACCCAGCACAGAGCGATGCTCAAGAGATAATTGCTGACTGACTGAACAGCCAGTCCCAAGTGCTTCCTGGCATGCTGAAATCAGTGTGGGGTGCAAGCATTCTATGCCGACACCCCGTCATAGACAAACAGTTTTGCTAGCAGTCATTCCAAGCCCTCTGAACCTGTCTTTTGGAGGGAAGCAAGGTCTAGAAAAGGCAGAAATGGGGGTATACTTTTTATTTCCCCCATTTCAAAAAACTTGAAACCTAGAGAATAGTACAATGAACACCTGATTACTCTTTACAGAATGTTAACATTTTCCTTACTTTTTAAAAAATTGAATCATTTCAAAGTAAGTTGTAGACATGCATGATGACGGTTCCCTAAATGCTATAGCACGCACCTCTGAAAAACGCCATCATCACACCCAGTGCCAACAACAGTGGCTACATCATAAAAAACTTGGTGATTTTTCTATGAAAAAGGTACAGCAGGATGCAGTCTGGAAAATGGAAATATAGATTTCTCTCTATAGATGTTTGTTGTGTTTTCTCCCTTGAGGGTGGTGGTACGGAAGATAAATGAAACCAAAGTCATAATTAAGTGCAGAGTTAGACAATGGGTATGTTTTGATTCAAAATGTGAATTATAAGATGGCCTTGTACTGTTTAAGGGAACCGAGCCAGAAGAACGTTTGGTTTATTATGCTCTTCTCTTTACAAAGAGAAAAGCAGTAGTAAGTAACTACTAATACTAAGATTAATTATTAATAATATTAATAAATACAAGTGCTTTACATGTGCTAGGCATCATTCCATAAAGACTACCATTTAATTCTCACTCCTACCCTAGGGGCAAGTACTTTTATTCATGCCATTTCCAGAGGAGGAAAGTGAAGCAGAGAGAGGCAGGAATCATTTGCCCAAGGTCATAGGGCAAGGAAGCTGCGGGGCCAGGAATCTAACTGGGTTATCTCCCCCCAGACAGCTGGCTACCCTCTGGGTTAGAGGGAAGGGCTGGGCAGTCTGGTGTGTGTGAAACACGTCGCTCTGGAGTCAGACCACCTGGGTGTGAGGACTGTTTTCATCAGCTGTGTCACCTTGGGCAAGTTATTTAACCTCTCCGCGCCACAGTTTCCTCCCCTATTACAAGGGGACAATACAGAACTATGTCTGGAGTTGTGAGGATTAAGAAGAATCAAGTTCAGGTCCTACAAGCCTCCCCTCCCTCACGCTGGCCTCCCTGCCAGTCCCTGAACTTGCTGCCACAGCCCAGCCTCAGGACCCCGCCTGCAATGCTCTTCCCTGCCTCAGTTCCTCACTTCCTTCAATCTTCGCCCCAATCTCACCTTCTCCGTGAGGCTCACCCTAACCATTCTCTTTAAAACTGCAACCTGCTTCCAACCCCACCCACCCTCACTCCTGACTCCCTCACCCAGCTCTGACTTCTCTTTTCTCCGTAGCTCTCACTGCTAACATGCTACGTGTGAGATACTAGAAAATATATATATTGGTCTCTGCTCCCAGTTCCTGGCACAGATCTAAAACCCTTGTAAAATTCCTAAGTGATAAGAGCACTAGGAGCATCTCTTGTTCTAATGAGGTCACTCTGGGTGGGCTCTTGGATGGGGGCTGGTCACCAGAAAGACCAAGCCATGATCAGAAGCTTGGAATTTTCAGCCTGTCCCCAACTTCTCCAAAGAGGGGAGAGGGGCTGGAAACAGAATTAATAATTGATCATTCCGATGTAATGAAGCCTCTCTAAAAATCCCAAGAGTACAGGGCTTGGAAAGCTTCCAGGTTGGTGGACACATCCATGTAATGGGAGGGTGACACACCCCAACTCCACAGGGACAGAAGCTCCTGTGCTCGGGACCCTCCCAGACCTCCTCTGTGTATCTGTTCATCGGGCAGTTCACTTCACCTGTATCATTTATTATATAATCAACTGGTAATCATTAAGTACGTGTTTCCCTGAGTTCTGTGAGCTGGTCTAGCAAATTAATCAAATCCGAGGAGGGTTATGGGAACCTCTGATTGGTAGCCAAGTCGGACAGAAATTGTGGGTGACCTTGGGACCTACTACTTGTGACTGGTGTCTGAAGTAGGGGGCAGTTTAGTCGGACTGAGCTCTCAATCTCTGGGATCTGGTGCTATCTCCAGGTAGACAGTGTCAGAATTGAGCTAAATTGTAGGACACCCAGCTGGTGTCACAGAATTGCCTGGCGTGGGGAAAACGCCCACATATCTCGTGTCATAAGTGTTGTGAGTGTGACAGAGGATAGGTGAAGGAGAGAAACACAGGGAAAGACTGAGTTTTTCCCAAAATACTACATAACTTGCCTACTCACTATGTGCTTACAGTGTGTCTCCACCCCTTCAAGTGCAAGCCCCAAGTGCCGTGGACCAGTGGAGGGCACATGGAAGGGGCTTGCTAATGACTGCTACCTGAACCATCAAATGGCCCCCTAATAAATACTAACTTTCTTGACCATCGCTCCTTCAAGGAGCCTTCCCCGGCCCCCTTGGCTAGGGTAGGGACCCCCTGGACCTCCACTGGGTGCCACTTCATTATGTGGGAAATGAATTCTGCTGTTACTACATTTGCTTTTGCCTTCACCTCCTGTCCTCCACTAGACACTCTGAGTTGACCAACATTCCTGTGTACCTGTGTGACCTGTTACTGAACCTTACTAGGCCTTTACCTTGACCCTTTACGCCAGCAAAGGGCTGCTGTTGTGAGTAGATAATACCAGGCCCAGTGCTCAGTGAAGGGTAGCCATATTCATCATCGCGGTTGTTGGTACTAGCACAGGTGGGGCCGGTGCTGTGGGCTGTGAGTCTGGGAGAGAAGCTGAGTGACCGTCCTGTCCACGTGCTCTGTGGAAGCACTCAGGTGTGCGTGTTGAATATGCTCTACCCCCAGGGACAACATCACCTCCTCAGTTAACAATAAGTAGGAGAATGAGAGCTGTGCTGGATCCTTTATATACATAATGTGCTCTCCTCTCATCTTTAGAGCAAACAGACCACACGGAGTCCACATTTTCCATTCTGAGGACAAGAGAGGGAAGACGAGCTGCCCACTGTCACAGAGCTTTAGTGACAGAGCCTGGCCTGTCCACAGGCAGCAGCACAATCTACCCTCTTAGTGTGGGACAGGTGTCTACACAGGAAACGTCCCTGCTGTCATCTCCGGCAGGGTTCAGGAGGTGTCCATGTGGCACCATAGTTACAAGACGTTTACCTTTGTTATATCAGAGCAGCCACAGGACTTGGGGAGACTGGCAGAACACCACGTTAAGGGTGAGGAGCTGTGGCTCAGTGACAAACCAAGTGGCCTGGCCTTCAAGTCTCTGACTGCACTGAGCAAGGCTTCCTTCATGCAAAAAGTGAAGACAAAGGGGCCGGCCCCAGAATCCTGGATGCCTGAATTCTCTCCGTTAGAGCCTATGGCAGGGGTGTGCTGGGTGATCTGTAGCATCTGCCATTTCCATGGTGTAAATACTCCCACCAGGGCCCATCGTAAGCTACCGTAAGCTATCGTAAGCTTGCTGATGTCATCGAGCAAGGAGCTGGGGAGAGGTGTACACAGCAGGTTCAAATGAGCCAGTGCGAGCCAGCCCCAGGACTCGATTGCCCGGGGCCTCGGAGAAGGAAGCCCTCTATTCTTTGTCTGGCAGTTGTCACACTTTTGACTAATATCCCCGAACATCAGAGGAAGGTTAACGCCTAGCTCTGCGGTCTGGGACACACCCCAAAGCAGCTACCTCATAGTAGAAAACTCTTTTGCTGGCTGGTTCTGTTTTGTTTTGAAACATCTGACTTTTGCATCCTACGTCATAATAAATCTGAGTTTGTGTTAATATAAAAATCATGTTTTAAATTGTTTACCAGGTAAGTACATCACTTGGTTTTTCCCTTCTGATTCCTCAAGTAAGATGGATTTCACCAGGAAGTGGCATCATGTCCATCCTGTGGTTTCTCACAGCTGTCTGCGCTCAGCCACGCGCCCCAAACTGGAGAAGCACGATTCTTGTCCACAAATAATTTTCTCCGAGGAACTGAGCACTGCCAGGGAGGAAAGAACAGCAGCTTGATATTAGGTAATTCTGGATTCAAAGGTTGCCTCTGCCAATTATTGGCTGTGGGAGAGCTACACACAGCCTCAGTTTGCTCATCTGTACAACGGGGTAAAGAAAACCTACCTCACTCTTGGCTGTTTATGCTAGCTATCTTCAGCAACTGGCACATGGTAATTTCTCACCTTTCTTTTCCTTAAGTCAGTATACCCCAAGCATCCAGAAGGCCAAAGACTGAGACCCACTAAAAGGACTATGGTTACAATTCTCATATGGTGCTGGCTGGAGAGAAACTGGCACAACCTCAATGGAAGGGCAATTTGGCAACGCCTTTAAGACTGAAGGTGCACATACCCAGTAACCTCACTTCTGGTATTTGCCTTCAGAACTCCTTGCACGTGTGTAAAACGACAGACACACAAGGGTATTCATCATGGCAGGGCCTGTAGAAGAGGCAGGAAGGTCTAGTGGTGAAGGGAGTGTGCCTGGAGCCAGGCTGACTGGGGTCAGCTCCTACCTCTGCCACCCTCTGTGTGTCACCTCAGATGCTCTCCGTGTCCTTTCTGGGCCTCAGTTTCCTCAACTGTAAAATGGGGCAAATAACAATGGCTCCACAGGGCTGTTGTGAAGACTAAATGAGTGAAAACATGTAACAGACTCAGAGCAGTGCCAGTGCTAAACAAACGTTAGTTATCAAGCGACTGAAAACAACCCAACTGCCATCAATAGGAAAATGGCTAAGTGAATGTTATGTGCACATAATGGGACACCACGGAGACCTCACAAGGACCGAGGTAGCACTACATCAGTGGTTCTTCACATGGGGGGATTTTGCTCCCAGGGGACACTTTCGAGGTCTGGGGACATTTCTGGTTGTCACAACCAGGGGTGGGGGGAGTGCTCCTGGCATTTAGTAGGTGAAGACCATGGATGCTGCTAAGCATCCTACAATGCACGGGACGGCCCCCAGAGTAAAGAATGATCTGGCCAAATGTCAACTGTACCGAGTCCTCGTGTACTATGTGACATGATCTCCAGGACATGGGATAATGATGAGGGAAAAGGTACAGAAAAACTGGTTAGAGAAAACAAAACAGGATAGAGACCATGAGTTTGAAAAGGCATACACAAGTTCTGGAAGGATAATCAAGAAGTTGGTAGTAGTGACTGTCCCTGAAGAAGGGAACTGGGTCACCCAGCATGGGAAAGGAAACTCAGAACTCAGTTTCCCTGTCTACACTCTGGCATTCTGTATCATGCATATATAATTACCTCTTCAAAACAACAACACAAATAAGATAAAGAGGCTGGATCCCACACCATCTCAGGGCAGGGCTGTACCTGGCCAGTCTTCCGAGTCCCACACCACAGGGTGGAAAAGGGCTTTGAAAGGCACAAAGCTAAATTCTCAGTCCTAAGGTGAGGATGGCTAGAACCCGGATGGGAACAAGCTTCAAAGAGTTATTCGATAACGGCCATGCCTCCCCTCGTGGCAGACAACTAGGGTCTTTCCTCTCAGCCCCGGGAACCCCTCTGATCCTGGAGGGCTGTGCTGAGCTGGGGTGCATACCTGGCAGACATACCTGCAAGCCAGCCATTTAGTGCACAGGCACAGTCTCACTGCTTCCGTTCAGCCAGAGTCTGTTTTTGCTGCACCACCTGTCAAATATTTGAAGATCACCCCTACCCTGCACCTACCAGCCCCAGGGACATACAAAGACACGTTCTCTAAAGACACAGGTCCAGTTGTAACAGAAAACACCGGCTTTGCACGTGAATGTGGGCCCTGCCATTTCTCTGCTTTTCGATGGAACAGATTTCCACACCTGTAGCACAGGGCAAGGAATGTCCACCTCGCAGGCACGTGCAACTGTCAGGACTGCCTTTTGTTAAGGTATTGAAAGTACTGGTCAGTGGTACCCTCCCCTCCCGCCACCACATTAATTTCTTCTATTCCTAGAAGCCCCTGTGGAGCCCAGAAGCTCTGAGCTATAGCTCTCAACCCTGCTTGTACATTAGAATCTCTTTGGAGCTTTTTAATAAATACTGATGGCTGATCCCCATGCCAGACCAATTAAATCAGAATCTCTGGGGATTGAATCTGGGCCTTTTTTTTTTTTTTTTTTAAAAGCTTTCCAAGGTGATGCTAATGCAAAGCCATGCTTTAGAACCACTGCCCCAGTCTCAGCCTCAGGGGCAGGGCTGGGATCTGACCTCCCTGTTGAAACCTGGACCTCAGCATTGGAGGAGAAAAAGTCTTTGATAAGCTCAAAGCCTAACTCTTGGATTCCCTGATCGAGGGATTCCACTGAGTCACTGATGGTGGCCATTCCTGGCTTTGGAGTTGACCAAGATGCCCATGTGAAGCCTGGGTGTTGATTTTGAAAACAGCACCTGCTGTCACCCATAATCCCTTCACCATGCTTTACTTTTCAAAATACTTATGCCACTTGTTATAAATTTAATTGTTGTCTCCCTACTAAATGCAAGCTCCCTACTAAACGCTTAGTACGAACCTCGTCTGTCTTGTCGGCTGACTAGCACAGTGCCTGGCCCACGGCAGGCACTCGATCGCTGAATAAGTGAATGTCTCTTAGAGCCTACCTGGCTGCAGGCCACAGACACCCTTTCTTCTCATCTCAGGAACATTATTCCTGTGGACAGATCATTGGGACCCCTCTCCCTGGTCTAACAGGCAATTCCAGCAAGCAAACTGCATAGGCTTTAAGTCAGTACAATAATCCGTGCTGTCGTGTGAGGCAGCTGTGCAGCCCATCTTCAGCCTGTGTCAAATGACCTCGCAACCCCTCGTCTCAGGACTGAAGACGCCAGCTGGATGAATCAGCAACAGGAAGAGATAACGGGTACCTCGCTCTCACATTTCCCAGCTGCATTTCTTAGAGATTAAGGGAATAATTAATGACCCTGGTCCTTGCCTCCCTCCACACATAGATAACGCCAGCATCCCTGAACTTGTCTAATGTATAACCAAGGAATTCTTGTTTATACGTTAACTTTAACATATAACCTAGAGAAAAACCAGATGTACCCTACCCCTTTTTGACATATATGCAATCCAGCCCTGTAACTTTTTTCCTCTTCCCTACACGTACACTGTTTTGTGAAAGAGATATACGCTGCACTTAAACTCACACACCTTGGAACAGTTCCATCAGCGCACTCTGTGGAACTGTCTTCCCAGGGTTCCAACTCCTCACGCCAATTACTGAATAAACTCCTTCTCTCCCATCACCTAAACTCTATTTCAGTCAACACCCCTCTATCACCTCCTTCCTCCAGCCCCCTCGCTCTCCTCCCTATCCTCATGCCTTGGGAATGTCCACAGTGTGCCCTCACCACGGTCCTGAACACCAACGGCTCTCAACTGGGGAGATTTTGCCTTCCAGAAGACACCTGGCAGTGTCTGGAGACATTTTTGCTTTCACAACTGGGGCAGGGGAGTGTGCTACTAGCATCTAGTGGGAAGAGGCCAGGGATAATGTTAAATACCCTACAATACACAGGACAACCCCCTCTCTCAAACAAAAAATTATCTGGCCCCAAGTATCCACAGCGCCGAGGCTGAGAAACACTGGTCTAGACACAGAGACATCTCCAGACCCCTGTGTTATTAGAAAATACTCCCCCTTGGGCCCTGCCATTTCCCAGGTCAAGTCTTCACCCCACGGGTTCCCTAGGGACATCTCCATCCAGGAAGATTCTCTGTTCCTGGTCTCCCCTCCCAGGACCCTGACTAGAAAATTCTGAATCTAAGCCCTGACCTAGACTTTAAGATTATTTTATCTGTTAACCTGAAACCTTTACTCTGGGGCTCAACTCTTTGCTTTTCTTCCTGTGAATTTTATTCTCTGGGTATGGGATCCTTGCCGTTATTATGTTAATAAAACAATTAACATTTATATGTTGCTTACTTGTGTCAGGCACTATTCTACTTAATGCTCACCACAAGCCTAGGGTTAGTACTATTATTATCCCTGTTTTTTGCAGGTGAAACTGAGGTGCAGCGAACTTAAGTAACCTCTCCCAAAGTCACAAAACTAGTGAGTGATGGGACCAGGAGTCCCAGAGTTGATGCTCTTTCTCCCCCGAGCTATACTGGTTAGGAAGGAGACACACAACCATACCCAGCCACAGGTCCCAGAGGCCAGGGTGGGCTCCACCCTCCCTTCAAAAGCACACTAAGACAGAAATAGACAATGCAGGGAGGTGTGTGGCTCGGCTACCAAGGGCACCGCTGCTCAAGTGGGAGAGGCCAGACCCTCAGCTTCCAGGACAAACTCCCAGTCTCAAGTTCAGAGGTGAAAACTCCTCCAGCATTCACCACCACACCCCTACCTCTGCACAGGGTCAAAGACAAACGACCCGCTTCACCTACGTTACCCCATTTCATTTTCCCAACACTGAGGCAGGTGCGGTTATCCTATTTCATGAGGAGAAAGCCTAGCACAACAGCACACATGCTCCCTTTCCCAGAGCCCATCACACCTGTGCAGCCGCTCAGACTCCTCCCCACAGGGACCTACCCCCCAGTTACGGGGAGATACACACCAGGACAGCACAATCACACACTCACAACCACAAAACCACTGACAGTGTGTCACATAGTCATCCCAGACTGTGATAAACGACCACATCAGTCTGTCACACACACAAAACCATTCGAACAACACAAATTCTCAGAGCCACACTCACACACCCACTTCCAGCCCCCTACAGGTGCAGTCATTTCTTCCTCACAAACACACCACAGACCCCACAGGAAACACACAGTCCTAAGTCACGCTCGTCACCACACGGGGTGCCTCCGTCACACAGACACACAGAGCCACCGACATCCCCTCATCTCACAGTATACCTGACGCCATCACACGTTTCAAATACGCAGGCCCACTCCACCTCACACTCAGTCCACCACACAACCAGACAGCAACCTCACACACTGCCTCAGGTGCAGAGCTCCTCGGAATCTCAGGAAACAGCCCCACAGGTGGTCACAGGCCCACGGCCCCACGCAGTGTCACAACCCTACACGGTCTGGGGCCCACAACCCCACAGGTGGTCACAGGTCGACAATCCCACGCAGTGTCACAACTCTACGCAGTCTCGGGCCCACAACATCACAGGTGGTCACAGGCCCACAGGCCCACACAGTATCACAACCCTACGCAGTATCAGACCCACAGCCCCACAGGAGGTCACAGGCCACAAGCCCACGCATCCGCGGACGCACAGGTACACAATCTCCCCCCCCAACACACACACCCCCACGCTCACCTCCGTCCTCCCAGGTCGCGTCCCGGGGTCGACCACCCTCACCGCCTCGCAGGCACCCTGCGCTCCCCGCGTCTACCACCCGCGCCTGCGCACTCCCCTCCGGGACCCCAGAGCACCGCCGGCCCCGCCCCCTCACACGCGTAACACGTTGCGGGCCGTGGCACCACCCCCAGGGCTTCCCCGAGAGCGCAAGGGCCCGCCCCTAAACAAAGCCACGCGGCGCCCACGCTAACAGACGCCTCACCCGGGACCCTGCCACAGGGCACAGCCGGAGGCCCCGCCCCCTCACACGCAACAGCGTACGCAAGCACGCTCACGCAATCACAGCCGTCCAGGAGAGGGGAGGTGGCCGCACGCGCGCCAGCCCGACGCCCCGCCCCTGCACCAACACGTAGCACGCACGGCCGCGCGCACGCGCATGGCCTATTTTGCGCTCCCCGGGGCCCCACTCCTCATTCCCCTCATGAAGTCACGTAGGCGTCCTCAGGTGGTGAGGCCGTTCCTAGATCTGTGCAACCCAACCCAACCTCCGCAGTTAGCCGCCCTCCTCGGCTCCCACACCTGCATGTTGCCGTCCTGTCGGGTGGCTTCTCGCCCCAGGACCCTCTCCTTTGTCCCCCGGGCTCAGCGGGACTTAGAGATGGGCTCACCCGCGCTTGCGCACTTCGAGCTCAGGCTGCAACTCCCAGAAGCCTCCCGGACGCGGCGCCGCTCTGGTCCGCCAGGCCCAGAACGTGAGGTTGAGGGATCCTGGCCTGCGGTGGCTCGGATCTGTCCGGCCCGAGACGAACTGACCCGCGAGGAGGGCAGAGGGATGGTCGTCCAGGCCGAAGCGGAATCTCACTTACTCTTTCATTGAACGACGAGCCCCAGAGTCCTTTGCGCGGCGCCTTTCCGGCCCCCAGACTACATTTCCCAGGAGACCCTGCGCGTCCCTCAGGCGGGCTTGGGGGAGCGGGGGTTGGAGGTGGCGCGGGCGCGCGCTGTCTTGGTTCGTGAGGTAACTGCAGTGTCTTCGCCAGTCTCAGAGGGAAGGTCTGAGGTGGGGACCCGCCTTTGTCGTCTGGGCGTGCAAGTCCCAGGGTGTGATTTGTGTATGTGAGGCCCAGTTTGTGTTGTTGTGTATGCGTGTGAGAATGAAACATTGTTTGTGACCCTGTTTTTGTGATTGTGTGCTGTCGACTGAAATGAAGAGTCTGGGTAAAGGTTAATTAAGGGAGTCTGTTTGATGAGCAAAGTGAGGAATTGGGAACCCCGGGAAACAATCCGACAGAATGTTCTGAGGAGCTGCTCAAAGGGGTGTGAGTTTAAGTGCAGCTTATATCTCTTCCACAAAACAGTGTATGTGCAGGGAAGAGGGAAGAAACCTTACAACTAGATTTCATGTAAGAAAGGGATAGGATACATCTGGGCTTTTCTGTAGATTATACATTAAAAGTACCATGAACAAGAATTCCTTGGTTAGACATGAAACAAGTTCAGAGATGCTGACGTCATCAATGTGTGGAGGGAGGCAAGGACCAGGGTCATTATTTATTACCTTAATCTACAAGAAATGCAGCTGGGGATGTAGGAACTAGGTACCGTTTCTCTCTTCCTGTTGCTGATTCATCCTGCTGGCATCTTCAGTCACGAGACGAGGGGTGGCAAGGTCATTTGACACAGGCTGAAGATGGCCTGCACGGCCACTTCACAGGACAGCATGGATTGTTGTACTGACTTAGAGCCTATACGGTTTGCTTGCGAGATTTGTCTCTTAGACCAGGAAGAGGGGTCCCAAAAGTCTGTCCACAGTACCCTTATTTTGTTGTGTTTTGTGTGTGAGGCGCAGCTTTTGTGGCTGTGTAGGGGTGTGTAGGGACCCACAGATAGTGAATGTGTATATGTGTGAGTAGAACAGTACCATTTGTGGAAGTGTATGCTTGTGTATGTATGTGTGTGGCCCAGCTTTTGTGATTGTGTTACCGAACAAAGGGCACAATCTGCTTGCCTCGAGACAAAAGCCAATCGTGAAGGGGCAAGATGGTGGAAAAGAAAGGGCAGGTTATTACAGCTTGCTAGCATGGGGGAAGATGGCTGACTGACGTCTCAAAGGACCATCTTAAGGGGCACAAAATCTTACAGCAGTTACATAGGCCATTGGGTTATAGGGGAGGGGGTTAGGAATGTTGACCCTCTGGTGTCACAGACTGGGAGTCACCATACCAGATCTTTCAGTTTCATTGATGATGGATATCAGCATAGACTCTCTGTTGGGGGATCATCATATTCCTAAGGAACTCAAAAAAACAAAGTTATCATCTTATTGCAGCTGGGAAGTACACGCACAAGCAGGGGTCGTGAAATCTACAGAGCAGTTAGATCTCCTGGAGGGTGCATATCCGGCTGGGTTAGTTAGTCAGAGGTCATTCCAAGTTACAGTACGGTTTCTTTTCTACAATATGGCTTCCCTTATGTCAACCTTGTCTTGAGCCAATATCAATTGTGTACGTGTGTATGAGAAACCACTGTTTGTGACTTTGTGTAGAGACCCAGTTTTTGTGTTTTTGTAGGTTTGTGTATGTACAATTCCGATTCCAATTCCAGTGTGTGGATTTTTTCCCCACCATCAAGCAATTCCCTGACACCAGCTGGGTGTTCTACAATGTAACTCAATTCTGACACTGTCTAGCTGACAGTAGCATCAAATCCCACAGGTTAAGGGCTCAGTCCTGAAGACTGCCCCCCACTCCCCACATTAGACGCCAATTGCAAGTCCAGGTTGTCACTTGTGCTTCTGACTGAGCAGCTATAGGTCAGAGGATCCAGTGACAACCTCCTTGAGTTTTATTAATTTGCTAAAGCAGCTCAAAGAACTCAGAGAAACATTTTACTTACTAGAGCATCAGGTTGATGCCCACCCTGATATCTGTTCCCCTACACTGAACCCAGCATATATGGGGTTAAAAACCAAAAAGCACTCATTCCCTCTTTCCTGCTTGTCCAGCTCCCTTCACATGTAGATATTGGTCATTTTAACCTTTGTATCCCTGAATTCCACAAGGCAAATAGAGGTAATAAATTGTTAAAAGCCCAGGTGGCTACAAACTGAAATAATGACTAATTACCAGTTCTTGAGGTTTGTTACAGGGAGACTGACATCCTGAAAGTATCAAGAAGCTGAAGCTCCCCAACTCCTGGTTCCTGGCGGAATCCACCATTCGCCTCAGGGACAGATAAATGGAGGACACCTGCAGCTTCCCTTACCTCAGCCAAATGCAGGCTGATGGGAGGACACTGAACTGCAAAGCCACAGCTCCCCCGCCTCTACCTAAAACCTTGTAAACTTTGTAATCGTTAATTGGCTGCAGTTGCTGTTGTCGAGGAAGAGGGAGAATCCCCCTCCGCCCTTTCCCTTAAGGTTCTTATGGCTGGCCAAATAATTAAAAAGACAGGTTAGCAGGAGAAGATAATACCAAGTTTAATAACATGTATACCTGGGAGAAACCAGGGAAACTGAGTTTCTCAACAAAATGGCAGAGATTCTCATCTTAAATATCATCTTCAGCTAAAGACAAAGGAGGATGTTGGGGGGGTAGTGGTTTGGGATTTCAGAGGAGAGGAAGACAATTTACATGGAGAGGGAAATGTAAATGTTTGTCAGACAATTCTTTACAGGGCCACCTATAGAGAATGTGGCTGGAGAGACAGGAATCGCAGTAATCAAGAGTATATAGATTTAAGTCCTTTCCTTCTGTACTGATAAGAGTTTCCAGAGACAAGGCCATCCCCCCCTCTTCCCAGCGCACAGAGGGAGATACCTTTACAAATGGAGATTTCCCTTGTAGATGTAAATGTTTTTTGGGCAACTCCTTGCAGGGCCACCTAGCGAATGTGGCCTGGGAGAGACAGAATGTTTGATAAGAGGGGCTTGTTGGTGCCTTTCCAACATCTTATGGCAGCGGTTTGGGGGAGGTCAAATGACCGTCAGAGAAAATAATCAAGGTAAAGAGAGATATTTCAGAGTGGTCAATTTTGATCTCCCACACCCTCCACTCCCCAGCACAAAATTTCGAAATTTCAGGTGATGCTGGAAGATTGATCAGTGGAGCCCTAAATCTCCTGCTGTAGATAGAGGTAACAGCCGGCTTGGCATCGGGAGGTCTGGGCGCCCCACAACATTCTAATCACAGTCACGGGAGAGTACATTCTTTCCTACAGACTTTCCTTAAAAAACCCCGACTCCTAATGCCTCAGGACTGTGGATTTTGGGGCACAAGCCCACCACAGCCTCATTTTGCTGGAAAATTAAACCATTTTTCTTTTCCTTGATCCCCTGGTCATTGTGTTCACTGATTCAGCTATGGTGACAGGGTCCCGGGTTTTTCCGGCTACAAGTTATTATAGAAGGATATAACTCAGGACTGGCCAGATGGAAGAGATGCATAGGGCAAGGTATGTGGGAAGGGGCTTGGAGCTTCCGTGCTCTCTGAATGTGCCACTCTTTGCAGCACCTCCACATGTTTGACATAGGCAGGAAGCTAGATGTGAGCTGGGAGCAAGGTCACTCCACCAGGCACAGCATCCTCATTACCAGGCAGCAGCTATTTGGACATGCAACACTCCCCCCAACCCTGACCTAGAGTAGCCCCAAGCCTCATTATACCCTCATTTGCGCTTCGGTTTTGACTCTTCTTGTGGGGGATCACTGCCATGACAGTTCGCCATGACAATTCTGGAGATGCCTATGTAAGGAAAAAATCCACCCCCACACATGGGGGTGGAGACTATGCCCTGATTGGCACACATCCCAAGACCCTCAACCACACCTGGGACCCAACCTTCCATAGCCACCATAGCCACCGACCACCACAACTTCGGGGCATTTGCTCACCTCCAGCCTGCCTGCCCCTCCCCTTGAGGGTGTACTTTCCCTTTGCTAATAAATCCTCCTCTGTCAAAACTTCCACTGTGTCTATTCTCAAATTCTTTTGTGTCCGTGGAACGAGAACCTGGGACCCCACCACACCAATCTGACCAGTGCCGGTGACATGTTCACCAACCCGGAAGCTCTCCGAAATCATCATTTTGGGGTTTTCTTTTGTTTTTCTGTGTGTTTTTTTGCAGGGGAAGATTCACCCCATGCTAACATCTGTGTGGGTCTTTCTCCTTTTTCATCCCCTCCAAAGCCCCAGTACATAGTTGTGTATAGTTGTAAGTTCTTCTATGTGAGCCACTGCTGCCACAACATGGCTACACCCAGGAACCTAACCTGGGCTGCCCAAGTGGAGTGCACCAAACTTTAACCGCTAGGCCATCAGGGCTGGCTCCTTTGGGGTTTTTATGAAGGCTTCATTACATAGGCATGATTAATTAAACCATTGGCCATTGGTGACTGAACTCAATCTCCAGCCTCTCTCCCCTCCCCAGAGGTCTGAGGAGGTAGAATTGAAAATTACAACCCTATAATCTCTTGGTCTGTTCCCGTAGCAACCAGCCCCCATCCTAGGGGCTTTCCACAGGTCATTTCATTAACATAAGAAAAGACACATTTTTCTCTCTCATCTAGGAAATTCCAAGAGTTTTGGGAGCTCTGTGCCAGGAAGAGATGAAGAACAAATATATATATTTTTATTATAAATCACAATATTTGTATGTGTGGTGGGAACCCAGGGCTTGTGGTTGCTCTGATGTGACCCTATGAGCGAGCGAATTTCTGGGACTAGGTATTAAGAGTCAATGTGTGAGGAACTAGTTTTGGTTTCCCAAT